GATCCAATCACCTCGCCACTTCCTGGGTCACAGAGCCGCTGATCGCACAGCAACCCCCACCCCCCCGGCTGACCTGCACTCGTGACGCCGATTCAATCACCTCGCCACTTCCGGGGTCACAGAGCCGCTGTTTGCCCGCTGCAGTAGGATCATTTCAGTGGGCGCCGGCTGCTCTTCAATCTTCGGGTCAGTACCTCGCCATCTTCTATGCTGTCGGCCTCCCTCCCGTCCTCCCACCCTCTTCACAAGCACAAGCAGGCAGGCAGCCCTCCACCCCCAAACAAAAACGGGCTCCCACTCTCCCCCCTTTCCACACCATAGAACAAGGCGTTTGACTACGGCCGCCCCCCAGCAAGGTGCCACCCTAGGCAAACGCCTTGTTTGCCTCGCGGTAAATACGCCCCTGGTGTACGGGGCATTAGATTTGGATGCTATCTAGAGAAGGTGGCGGTGGGTAAACCTATGGTCTGCTCACATATTATTGACTGCCCCTTTAACTGTACAACAGGCTATGATGGGGGAATGCACGCGAGTTATTGAAGGGTCGTTAGTTCCAAAAATAAATGATTGTATAACTGTTTGTGTTTTGGTGGAATTTAGAGGAGAACTCTTTGTTTGTTTGAACTTTGTTTAAAATGAATATAACAGTTAATTACAATTAAATTGGAATCATGACACAATCTATTATCTGGTTTGTCTGTTTCATCTGGTAGTCAGTAATGAGTTCTAAAATGGACATCAACATTTAAATAGCAGAACAGGTTTCCCGGAACCCTCATCCATAGGGTGCTGCCACCTGCCTTGGATTCTCCTGGACAGTCCGGGTTTGGAGCCCTGTATGTGCTGTCACCTGACATCATGACATGTTTTGCCGGGGTTTCCTCTGGCCTAAAGCCTGGACAAAAAAATTTCATGATGTCAGGTGGACAGGGGCAACCGCGGGGTCCTGGTGTTCCAATATGGGTGCATGGAGGAGGCACGGGACACGGAGGGATGCTGGAACACGGGGAGCAAGGAGGTGTCTGAAACACAGGGTGCAGATAAGTCTTGAAGGGCACAGGGGTTCTCCTTCAGGCAGATGTGTTGCTCGCTCTCTCTCCTCGCTCTCTCTGTTGGCTGTCTCTCCTCGCTCTCTCTCCTGGCTGTCTCTCCTCTCTCTCCTGGCTGTCTCTCCCCTTTCTCCCGGCTGTCTCTCCTCGCTCTCTCTCCTTTACTGGCTGTATCTCCTAACTCTCTCCTGGCTGTCTCTCCTCACTCTCTCTCTTCGCTCTCTCGCTCCTGGCTGTCTTTCCTCCAGGCTGAGGGATAGAGGTGGGTGCCTTGGGACACTTCAGCAATAGGGGGGGGGTGGGGGTGTGTGAAATGGGCAGGACCTGCAATTCTCCCCTCTCTCTCTCTCTCCTGGCTGTCTCTCCCCTCTCTCTCTCTCCTGGCTGTCTCTCCTCTCTCTCCCGGCTGTCTCTCCTCTCTCTCTCTCCTTTACTGGCTGTATCTCCTAACTCTCTCCTCTCTCTCCCCACTCTCTCTCCGCTCTCTCTCCTGGCTGTCTCTCCTTCGGGAGAGGGTGCACTTTGGCCCTCTTACCTTGGGTACTATAGGACCTTGTACTGTCCCTGCCAACCACACAACCCGGGAGGGGCATCGGCTGCACTGGAATTCGGTAGAAGAGCCGTCATGGAGTTTTCTTCTTCCACACTAGGTGGCGCTGTAGGAACAGACATGTGCAGCGGAGCCATTGGCCGTGGCGGGATTCGTCCTTTCCACCTTTAGGACATTACATGAAATAACGGATTCATTTCTAGACAGCTGAGAAGGTGGAATATGAAATCATCTTCAATTAAAGGATATTAATATATTAAATGATCATTTGAGAACATCCCGAGCAAATATGAGATACAACAGCAGCTGAAAATGATGTCACAGCGCAAGAAATAAAAGTGAATTTCAGTGCAAGTTGCCGTGTCCCAGCAATGCAGCTCCTGCAGATCACCGGGCGGGGTGCAGCCGAGACCGCTGGGTCTGATTGGCCCGGTCCAGCAACGGGCCATTACTAATAGGGCAGTAAGTCCTGCAAAGAGAGGAGGAAGGTAGTCTCCCCTCCCCCAGTGATCAGTCTGCTGCAGGCTGGAGGAAGCATTTCCTCAGTCTCCCCTCCTCCAGTGATCAGTCTTCTGCAGGCAGGAGGAAGCATTTTCTCCCGTCCCCCAGTGATCAGTCTGCTGCAGGCACGATGAAGCATTTCCTCAGTCTCCGTCCCCCCAGTGGTCAGTCTTCTCTAGGCAGGTGGTAGCATTTCTTCAGTCTCCCCTCCCCCAATGATCAGTCTACTGCAGGCAGGAGGAAGC